TTTTTTTTTTTTTTTCGTATTTGTTTTCTTAGCAAATTGCTTCAAAGTACACGGAACTCACAATTTGTCTTGTCTAATACAAAAACATTTTAAGATGAATTTTGAATCGATCATTAAAACAAATATAAGACTTGTCCTATGGACATCTAAGTAACTAAATGAATGCTTTATTTAGAATTTATTCGTCCTTTTATTTTATTAGTTTCTCAAATTGTTTGGGTGTTTTCTTAAAACTTTTTCACTAGATTTCTCAAATTGTTTGGATGATTTTGTAATTTTAATTTTTTTTCTTTTCACTAGATTTTTCAAATTATTCGGATATTTCTACAACTTGTGATATTGTTTTAGAAGATTATACGATGGACCAAGATATATAATAGTGTATCTAAGTAGTTGGGTATATATGTTCAAAATTTGGAAAAATAGTTATTAAAATTAGTTGTTTAGTTATACTAGAATGTGTTGGATTGACATTTATATACATAAATATATTTCTTTTGTTGTGTGAGTGACAATTTTAAAAAATTAAGTATTATTCTATTTTTTTGGAATAAATGAAAGTATGAATATGGTCCACTCATCCATGTTCTCGAGCTACACACATAAAGTCCTTAAAATCCACGCCGCATACAGTTTTTGAAGCTATTTCGTAGATAGATTCCACTAAACTTTCAATTTTATATTTAAAATCAAACAAAATGCAAAATCTCACCTAGACAAACGTAAAAACAAATTTTATAAAATAAATTGTGTATAATGTTGTATTAAACAAATTTTGTATTATAGCAAACTTTGTGTATTTACTATTTAGATTTGTCGTCCTTGTGTCTGTGGGTTTTTTTTTTGGGAACGGTAAGATTTTTATAACTGAACACATATATACAACTAGATGACAGTCTGAAGTCGAATTTAGTGGAAGAACATCTGAATACAAGCCTAAACCCCACAAGGCACCAACGATGATAATAATACTAATTCCCACATAAGAATCTAGATCCTAGACAAATAATAACACACAAAAAAACACATAGAAGTACACAAAAACACACAAACACCAATCCACACAAGATACTAGACTAAAACCCTTCCCACGACCGAATAACCCACCATGTAGACCAAAACGGCGACACCAGCAACCGATCACCTAATGGTGATCGGACCAGGTTTGGATTGTAAACCCAAAAACTGCAACACACGCCTAACTGGATCTAAAACCTGAAACTCGACCCCGTGCCAAGGCCGTCAGCCTCAACCCCTGCAACAAGCAGATCTCCAATCACACCACCACCGCTTCGAGCCCAACCCACACCATGGACTGTGGCTCGTTATGTCGACTGTCTGTTTCTCCCTAGCACCAGTGGAGATGAGCACCCAGGGAAAAAACCGACCACCTCCATGTCGACACCTACACAGGGCGACCGACACCACAATCCAACCCCACAAAAGCACGAACGCCCGCCTCGCCTCGACCATGGAATCCGACGACCAACGCACCGAGAAGGCAGCCAAGGAGACGAGAGATCCCGTCGAGCACGACCATCCGAGCTCCATCGTCCAAAAAACCAGGCCCCTACACAAATTGGGGCCGAGTCGTGTTAGCCAAGGGACGACCTCCGTCAAAGGAGCCAGGCAGACCCACCGGGGGAGGCAAACCGGAAGAGTTAGGCGAGATGAGAAAAGCGGAATTTTCTTTTTTTTTTTCG